CATCCAAAGCAAGCGTGGTAGTGTCCATATCTAGATGCGTCTTGTGCAAGTTTGGTCCAGGTGGCACTTGTAATTACTTAGAAACGGACTTGCTCCTAAAACTTAAACCTGGATACCAACACTGACAATTCAATTATTCATGATAAAATAGGTATAGCAAAAGCTTATCTCGACTTCGTGGAGGTGAGCCAAAGAAATCACCATTATGATGTAAACTGTTGCCAAGGAAAGGTCAGGATAACAAGAGGCCCATGGGCCACATCGCTCACCGGAGTAACTTGGGTGATGCAGATCTTTTAAAAAGATTTGTTCTATATATATTTCTATGTAAAACTTGGATTCCCCATTGTGGCCCCGCCCTATGCCCGAGGGTCATGATTTTAACAATTTAATATCTACACTACTCAAGGATGCTTCCACATAAGTTTCAGCTTTCCTGGCCCAGTGGTTCTTTAAAAGAAGATTTTAAAAGATTTGTTCAATAAATCTCTATGTAAAACTTGGATTCCCTATTGTGGCCCCGCCCTACCCCCGGGGGTCATGATTTTAACAATTTTATATCTACACTACCAAAGGATGCTCCCACATAAGTTTCAGCTTTCCTGGCCAAGTGGTTCTTGAGAAGAAGATTTTCAAAGATTTGTTCTATATATTTCTATGTAAAACTTGGATTCCCTATTGTGGACCCGCCCTAACCTCGGGGGTCATGATTTTAACAATTTAATATCTACACTACCCAAGGATGCTTCCACATAAGTTTCAGCTTTCCTGGCCTAGTGGTTCTTGAGAAGAAGATTTTTAAAGATTTGTTCTATATATTTCTATGTAAAACTTGGATTCCCTATTGTGGCCCCGCCCTACCCCCGGGGGTCATGATTTTAACAATTTAATATCTACACTACCCAAGGATGCTTCCACTTGCGTTTCAGCTTTCCTGGCCCAGTGGTTCTTGAGAAGAAGATTTTTAAAAGATTTGTTCTATATATTTCTATGTAAAATTTGGATTCCCTATTGTGGCCCCGCCCTACCCCCGGGGGTCATGATTTTAACAATTTAATATCTACACTACCCAAGGATGCTCCCACATAAGTTTCAGCTTTCTTGGCCCAGTGGTTATTGAGAAGAAGATTTTTAAAGATTTATTCTATATATTTCTAGGTAAAACTTGGATTCCCTATTGTGGCCCTGCCCTACCCCCGGGGGTCATGATTTTTACAATTTAATATCTACACTACCCCAGGATGCTTCCACATAAATTTCAGCTTTTCTGGCCCAGTGGCTCTTGAGAAGAAGATTTTTTAATGACCCCACCCTATTTTCGTATTTTCTTGATTATCTCCCCTTGGAAGGGGTCTTGACCCTTGATTTTAACAATTTAAATTCCCCTTCACCCAAGGATGCTTTGTACCAAGTTTGCTTAAAATTGGCCCAGTGGTTCTTGAGAAGAAGTTGAAAATGTGAAAAGTTTACAGACGGACGGACGGACGGACGACGGACACCGGGTGATCAGAAAAGCTCACTTGAGCTTCCAGCTCAGTGAGCTAAAAATGTTGGTGCAGTTGATTAACTCTAATCAGTATGTATCAACATATAAAGTTTAATAAAAATAACTTGAATTTCTTTAAAACTGAACTAAACACTTATTTAAGAAAATGAGGTCAAGGTCAAAGTAGAGGTCTAGGTAAAAATCAAAAGCCTGAAAGGCTTCAATGGCGTCGAACAAGAAAAAGAATTTCAAAAGTGAGAAGATAGGTCAAGTGGGTGACTCTGGTAACATAATAATAAAATATTTAACACAAATACAGTGAAGGGCCTTTTGTCCTGGTCCGAATGAAGCAGAGTTTGAATTGACCAGACATCGTCAGAAATGTCACGCTCAATAGCAAACTATTTTATAATTTCTTTTCAGTCAATCAAAGACATATGATTATGAAGGGTTACATAAATTCATAAATTATTTTTTTCTACTTGCCACCATCTTCGCTAGCCAAGGGTTTCTGATACGCTACTCTCCTCATAAACCCTTGGCCTACGGTGTTCATAGAAATCGGGTTTTTTTCCAGTGACATATGAGTTTTAGATAAACAATAATAGCACAAAAGTATATCACACACATATAGTTCTAAATTCAGAAATCAATCATAATGATCGCTGCTCAAATAAAACTAGATATCATTGAGATGGTGGCCATCTCAAAGGGCCCCGCGTTCAACAATGAAGATGAAAATGTAGGGTCGTTTAAAAGGGATTATTTTGAAGAGGAACATTTGTGTTATACAGTAAAAGTCATTTAGTACGACTTCACGGATACTGCAAATTTACTAATATTTATTGAAGTTATCTTGTATCCCAAGTTATATAAATTTACTGGAATTAAAGGCAAAGAATTATGCACCAAACAAAGATTTTAAACAGAAAGGGTAATTCTGACCATGACCTAGAAACTTCGACCAAGGCCACTGCACATCCATTGACCAGTGGATCTCTATGAGTGAAGTAATAGCCAGATTGTGCAAACAAAAGAGAAGATATACTCCTGACTAGGATTTTTCATATCATTCTGCTATGACCTTGACCTTTGACCTAGAAACCTGGTTCAAGGTCACTGCACGCCAGTTACCCAAAGACACTGGGTGAAGTATGAGGCAGTTTGGGCTAAGGGGAGAGAAGATATGCTCTGGACAAGGATTTTTCATATAATTCTGCTATGACCTTGATCTTTTACCTAGAAACCTGGTTCAAGGTCACTGCACACCGGTTATCCAAAGGCACTCTGTGCGTGAACTATGAGCCAGATTGGGCCAAGGAGAGAGAAGATATGCTCCAGACAAGGATTTTTCATATAATTCAGCTATGACCTTGACCTTTGACCTAGAAACCTCGTTCAAGGTCACTGCACACCAGTTACCAAAAGGCACTCTGTGGGTGAAGTATGAGCCAGATTGGGCCACGGAGAGAGAAGATATGCTCCGGACAAGGATTTTTCATATAATTCAGGTATGACCTTGACCTTTGACCTAGAAACCTGGTTCAAGGTCACTGCACACCGGTTACCCAAAGGCACTCTGTGGGTGAAGCATGAGTCAGATTGGGCCAAGGAGAGAGAAGATATGCTCCGGACAAGGATTTTTCATATAATTCAGCTATGACCTTGACCTTTGACCTAGAAACCTGGTTCAAGGTCACTGCACACCGGTTACCCAAAGGCACTCTGTGGGTGAAGCATGAGTCAGATTGGGCCAAGGAGAGAGAAGATATGCTCCGGACAAGGATTTTTCATATAATTCAGCTATGACCTTGACCTTTGACCTATAAACCTGGTTCAAGGTCACTGCACACCGGTTACACAAAGGCACTCTGTGGGTGAAGTATGAGCCAGATTGGGCCAAGGAGAAAGAAGATATGCTTCAGAAAAGAATTTTTCATATAATTCAGCTATGACCTTGACCTTTGACCTATAAACCTGGTTCAAGGTCACTGCACACCGGTTACCCAAAGGCACTCTGTGGGTGAAGCATGAGTCAGAAATGGCCAAGGAGAGAGAAGATATGCTCCGGACAAGGATTTTTCATATAATTCAGCTATGACCTTGACCTTTGACCTAGAAACCTGGTTCAAGGTCACTGCACACCGGTTACCCAAAGGCACTCTGTGGGTGAAGTATGAGCCAGATTGGGCCACGGAGAGAGAAGATATGCCCCGGACAGGAGATCTCGGACGGACGGACGGACGGACAGACTGATCACTATAGGGCGCCCGCCAAGCGGGGCCCTAATTATACTGATCAATAAATCAAACTGTTAGTGTAGTAGTTTCTCCATTTGACCCTATCAAGGTTATTAGCCGCCATCTTGGACTGGGGGCAAACATTGGGGGCTGACGTCACAAAAACAATGGCAGAGTCGAGCTCCGCAGCTGACGATGCAGCGAATATAATCGCCGCGTATAATTTACCTGCGTCGTAACAGGTGTACCTAGGTGTGCAGAAGAGACCCCAAGGTAATGTTTTTTGACCATAAACAAGTATTTTATCTTTGATTTCCACTTTAATGACGTAAGTTGCATATTTACTCAAGGTTGTCAAAACCACGTGGCCGAAGGAAACGCTCTCCGTACTTAGGAGGTCGGTCATGTTTTGCATTGCCCTGACTATATGCGGCATATTTCAGTACTGTAATTTTTGTGGTCTTGGGTGGAGATGATTTGGATGCTAGGCAATTTTTTTTCGAAGGCCTGAGACAAAAATTAAATTTTTTATAGAGCTTTGAAATCGGCCAAAGGGGGGTGAGATATCAAAAAATATAATACATAGGTATAAGTGAGTTCTAATGAACAATATCCAAGGTTGAACATTATTTTTAATTAATATAATTAATATAATATAAATAAATTATATTTTGTATGTTATACATATAAATTAAGTGTCATTGATTCATTACACCTTCACTGTACTTTACTATATTACTAGTCATTCATGGTTTAGTATCGACATTGTTTATACAGAAACTCTTGCATGTACAGGGGTGTCAAGAAATATGAAAGATATTTATAAAGACACCTTGAAAAAAGTATTTTTCCCCATGAAAATATTTTTTTTTTCATCACTGCAATTTTGAATACTTTTATTGTAATTATGAATATTGCTATAGCTATTTGCCGAAAAATTTAAAATTGAGTGATATTTAGATATATTTTAAAATACACTGTACATAAATATAGCAAATATTTTACATGCATAAAATAGGTATGACTATCCTCAAATTCATGTTCAGTCAATTAAACAAGGAGAAATAAAATAAATAAATAAATAAAAAAGAAATAAAAGGAAACCAAAAGGATTTTAATATTGATTCATGTAATAGTTATTCCAGAAAAAATATCCATGGTGCATGCATATGAAGCAAAATTGTGCAATTTTACACAATTTAATATAATTGTAGAAAAGAGGATATCCTAGAAACACCTGAAGGCTTGACTCAAAGTCGGAGTTAAAAACACAAGATATGACAAGGCAGGATGCAGCTAAAGCAGCTCCAAATTGAGTTCGCTGGAGGACTGTCATCGATGGCCTATGTTCCTCATAGAACGACAGGCCGAAGTAAGTACATGAAGTAAGTAGCAGGACGTACATGTCATTGTGCTTTCAAACCATGTTATTTAGGGAATAACTATCTTCTAATTTGGTATTTGCGACCGTTAATGCTGATTTAACGGTCGCAAACTGAGTTTTACCGGCGACGCGTAAGCGGAGCCGGTAAAAATCAGCATTAACGGTCGCAAATACCAAATAAGAAGATTAGTTATTCCCATTCTAATGCAATCCATGCATTTTCTTTGTTGTTTACGTCTTATTTTGATGAATTTTGTTACATGAAATACGTCATGGAGCACTGTGTTTTGCGTCGCTATATTATGATGTCACAATGAAAAAGCTTTCACGCTCGTTAATGCTCGTTTTACTGCTTCAAACATCAGTGCATTAGCCAATGAAAAAGTGTTTTACAAAACAATTGCATTAGAATTGAATTTTAAACAAATTAGTTTTGAAATTAAAGTGAATCCCTGTGTAAATACATGTATTCAAATTAAAAAAAAGGAATTTAAAGGTTTGAAAATAAAAATGATGCATTTTTTGTTCCATCTGTTATAAAAAGCCCATAAAATTGGATCAAAAAGTAGATAAATACAGTAGCATTGTGACATAATACCACCAAATTACAAACATAATTAATTCGTAATATGCTAAGTTCTTCCTCAAATTTGCAAAGCAAATCTTTATTTTGTAAATATTTAGTTTTAAGAAATGAATATTTACAATATATGAATCTTACTTAACAGCAATGATTTTAAAAATTATCAAAGATATTTCGTTAGGAAATTATCAAATTTTTATAATAATTATACATGCTTACATGTACTTATCTATTTTTTCAGAAGAGTGCTCTTTCAACACTGCATGGCAATATAAACAGTATATGCCTCAAGTTTTAACTCTACATATTTCAAATTTAAAGGAGATCAAGTTGTTTAGCTTTATTGCAATTTTTGCTTTGAAATACAGTTATGTTGAATAATTGAATGACTCATCTTGAGAAATGTGTGAAATGTGCTGCAGGTTTTTGAAACTGTTTAATAAATCAAGGCTATTTCTAATGATTTGAAACCACTTGTAGATTCAAAATGCCTTTATATTCATTAATTTAATCATTTTATAAAATTATACTTAATTATCATAAATGATAGTCTCTGTGCTATTTCTGTTAAAACAGATTTCTATCTGATAAAATCATAGATATTTAACTCTGAAGAATATTGGTCCTACTCCTTTGAAATGTATAATCTCCTCATTACAGATTTTGAAGAATCCTCAATTCAAATCCAGACTGCGGCAGCCCTACCATGTAGCTGTTGGACTTGTATGGGATAACAATAATCAAAAGTCACGATATCCATGCATGGATTTTATCTCATCTTGATTAAATGCAGAGAAATCATATACAGTCTATTTTGTGACAGAAACTGAAAGAGAGAGGGCTATTGTCCTTTTGAATTTGCTAGGACAATTTTTTATGAACTTTAGAATATCGCTCATGTACATATTTTTGTTGAAAGATAAAGTACACTTATTAATACTGATTAGGCCATTACAATTTTTTTATGTTTAGTGTCTGCGTGTGCCTTGGTTTTTGACACCCCATGTCAGAAAAAAACAAACAGAATTAGGAGTTTGAAAATTGATTATTCAGGTCAAAATTTTTGATTTCCAGCAATATCTCTGAATATTTGTATAATACATGTATTTCATTATTGGAATAGTTTTAGTATTTAATGCCTTGATTTTGTTGAAGAAAATAACTTTCTTTATGAAAAATAGATAAATGAAATCATATCTTTTGAATTATGTCATTTATATTACTATAAAATATGTGTTTTATTATTTTTTTTGTAACTGTGTGTTTTTAGCGAATAGGTAGCTAGGTTTTTGAAAGATGGGTGGACACTAAACAGAGAAAAAACTTGGAATGGCCTTAGCTTCAACTAAATATTAAAGTTTAAATTTGCCATGGATATTTTAATTTTACCAATTTGACCAAGATGTTTGCAGACTGACATATTTCTTGAACACGTTATACATGTTATATTACAACTATTTGAAATACAATGTAAATACCTATCGAACTTACTTTATTATATGCAATGTCTTTGCATATATTTGCATGTATACTCAGAAAAATCAAATGAATGTTTTTTTTTCAAAGTTGTTACAATAAGAGCTATTTAAAGGGAAAGAAAAAAAATTGACATGATATTAAAACTTGTATTTTTATTTCAGCTTGTAAAAATTCATGTATTAATCATAATAAATAATAAATTTGTACATGTATGTAAAATTGTTTTCAATTGAGAATACTTGACTCTCTTTAGCACGTGATCCTTGGAATGTCATGTGCTTTAAATATGAATGTGATTTACCCACATTTTAAAATTGAGCCCTAGATCTAGCTGCCAGGTCTGTTGAAGAAATTTCAGGATGAAGGAAGAGGGCCGGGATCAACTGAAAACTTATATTTTGACTAACAAAAACAATGTTCATATTAATTAGTGGTGGGGGGACATGAAAACTGTATAGATAAGCTTATTGTATTGTGTGATGTGTATATATTGTATCCATTCAATTTAATTATTGAGGGGTACACGGTAACACCACAATCCACATATGGTTTCTTTCATGTCTGCTTCATAAATTGCTAAACATTATACAGTGATCCATTGATGAGTGAATCAAAGAATCTAATTTCACTAAATTTGTAATTTTTTTTTCATACACACAGTTTTTTAGGGGAGGGGGAGAGTAGGGGATTGTTGTACATTGATCATACAAAAAGGAATTATAGGAATTCCTTGTTTTCTGCTGAATGCAAATTTTTCACTTATTGTCGGACTGATTGATAAAGATACTGTATTATTTTTCCTTGTTTTTTTTTTCTTCTATCATAAAAATAGTTTGACTATATTCAAAATGAATATGCTTAAGAAAGAGTAGGATACCTGCTTAAATTTTTTCATGAGGAATATAAGCCAGATATTTTGTCTACAGTACTTCTGAGAGCTTTCTCTCAATTGAATTATATATTTCCGCAGCTATACAATCACTGAGATTTCATATACAGTGTATGTAATGAAAATAAACATAGGATGTATAAATTCTATTTTTATACCCCATCCAAAGGAGAGAGGGAATACAGTTTTACTCGTGTGTACCAGTCCGTCTGTCTGTCCAAAACAAATTTTTGGTTGCAGTTTTCTCAGTAACTACTCATCACAGATGCTTGAAAGTTTAGCACATTCTTTGCTGAGGCATGTCTTTTGGTGGGATTTCATTTTTCTATGAATCGGATGTCAACTTCCTATTGATCTGTGCATCTGCCTGTAACTGTAACTTCAGTTTATTGATATAATATTGTATATTCACATCAGAGCAGGGGTTTGATTGGTGAGCATTGGCTCACAGACTTCTTGTTAGATATGCATGAAATAGAGACAGGGAAGTCAGATTGTATTGTTACAAAAATATACTAAGTCCTAAACAAAGGAAAGGTCTTCAATACATGTACATGTGTACATGTATTTGGATTCTTGTATCATATTTGGTAAACTAAAAATTTTTTTTTATGTTTTAATAAATGTTAATGATGAAATTTATTTACGATAACCAGGTATCGAATCAGAGACTTTGCGTCACTAGTCAGAAGCTATAACTGTTGAAGTACTTTCAATGTCAATACACTGTCTAAATCTTGTATAGCTTTAAAAGTCCCAAAAATTGTAAACAGCATTGTAAACCTTATTTTAATATTTCTAAAAGTTAAGCAGAATTTTACACACACAGTGCACATGACACAGACAATTTTTTTTTGTATGATTAAAATTATTTTTTTTAGAAATTACTGTTTAAATAGATATGTATAATTAATTACTTTGAAGTTGCAATTTTGATATTGATATACACAAGCAACATATTTTTAAATCATTCTATAATATTACACATAGTTAATATTTAATTAATTTATATAAAAACATATATTTAAAGTTGTCTCAATAAAATATCTAAAACATTATATTAAAATAAATATTATTTTTTAAGTATATTGGTCTATTTACAGATGTTTTATGAGCTTTTATTCATTCAATACTTCTCAATAGTTCTCAGTTGGATCCGCCCGCGTTAGTGGTATAGATATAAAAGAAATTAATTTTTAAAAAATCATCAAAGTAAAAAATAAAATGACTGCCGTCACGAGAAAAGGGCCCTTAAGGTCAAATTTTCACAAATTGACTTTTCGGCACATTTTGATAGCCGGACTCTTTCTGTATGCAAATATACATAAATTTTGAAAATATCTCACCTTTTCGGTATTTTATGAGCATTTTAGTGAGGCGCTCTATATATAACTTTGACGTTACTCACTGAAAACGTAATGACGTCGCCTGCATCTTATTCAATTTTCAAAAATCTTTTAAAGTTACAGGTTTTTTTTAATAACCTCAATCGTTTCGAGAATTAAAAACGTGAGAAAGTATTTCATCTTTTCTTCCAAGCGACTAGTATGTAACTATTCCTAAGGGATTTCGTATGCTATTACTATTTTTATGCTAATTTTATAGCAGTTCTAGAAATTCGTTTAAAAAAAAAGGGGGGGGGGGGTCTAGACGGAATCTAGGAACGGTTTATAACATAATCAGTATGGAAATAATATTTGTTTAAATTCATAAAAATTATTATTTTATATAAAATAATTTAATTTAATTTATAGAATATATAACGCACTTGTAACACTTAAAAATTAAAAGAAATATATAGATAGACAGAGAATCCCATGCAGAAGTACACCACGCGCAAATAGGAAACCCCTTTTGAAAAGCACATCGATCCCAATGTTTAAAAAATCTTACGAGACAGCATTCACTCACAAACGCACATGCACGTAACTTTATTCTGTTACGGAAAAAAAGACCATGTATTTTCTGTATCACCGAAAAATTCAATTGAGAAATTAATTCAGGTACGCTAAGATATGTAAACTTGTTTTTAAAAACGTTTATTGCTTTATAAACATTCATGAAAAAAAATAAACGTTCCCTTCTTTCATGCAAGCGGATTTAAAAATTTTTACGCTGTTGAATAGTTTAATAAAAATGTTTAAGCTCTACATTTCTATTGTTTTTGCAATTCATTTTCGTCGCCTGCCTTAGTTATGGAGTAGAAAAGTAGTAAATAGGCAAAAGAAGGACAAATGAATTATTCATAATATACCGTATACCTCAAATTGAAACCGTATTTTAACTTCTTATTTTTTTTTAAACGTTAATCACAATTAAAATCGGTTACAAATATTTCTGCACATTAACCCTTTATTTTATTTGTGGCACCTGTACCCTCTTTCACTTGAACACAGCATTTGTATATTTCTTACAAGGACCGCTACTATGATTTCAAAAAATATCATTTATGCATAATATTGTATAATTTAATCAAAGAGATGGGAATTGTGCTGTTCTTGTCTCTTTTTATTGGTGCTTGACTTTTCTGTGCGAAATTAGTTCCATTTAAATTTTAACGAAATCTATTTGAAACTGAATGAATACTGGTAGTGGAGCCTCATTTATCCAGACGCTAACCTTTGGTTCAAAGTCAATTTGTCCAGATATGTGAAGCGTACCGGATATCTGAATTAACCGTTAAACAAGACAAAATAACATTAAAAACTTTCGTTCCGATGAAAAATTGTCCGGATTTTTTACGCAAGAATGGCAGGCCCATAGGAAGCTATATTTCTTTTTTACAATTATTGGCACGTTCAACCACCAAATTTTCCTTGACAAACGAAACAATTTTTTAACGGCCATAAACGGTCATCTACATTGTATTCATTTTCCTCCGTCCTCCGTGACAACGGCTTATTAACTTCATACCTTATAAGCTTTTCACATTTCGATGTGATTGTCTTATCCAATAATGAATTATTGCGTCCAACATACGTTAATGCTTTTTGTATGAGGCGATGCTGTTAATTCAGTAATAATATACCAAACATACCCCCCCACCCCCACCCCCCAAAAAAACACATTTGACTCGTACTTTCGCCTGTCCCCACACAACTCGTTTGAAAAATTTGGGTGAGGGTTCGGTCAGAAAAAAAATTGCCTTAAAAAAACTCAAAAAGGGGGGGGGGGGTCGCAACTCGAATCCAATTTCACCGTTGGGGAGGGAGGGGGTGTAGGTTCAGTCTTCTTTCAGTATCACATTTTCTTAATCAAACATAATACACTGCATGCCTTTTTCTTTTGCCCTATTGTGCACGAATTTGACTATACTGTTGCAAAAAGTGTGTATGTCATGGTGTGTGTGTGTTGTTGTTGGGGGGGGGGACTTTCAGTGTAAATCCCCACCCCCTACCCCCCTTGCTACTTGCGTGCGACTGTAATGGCCAATACGATTGATTACTGTTGAACGTCCCTCTCC